TCTGGGCCAGATGGAAAGCCACTTGCTGGGTCCGAGGTGAAGACGACTTGGCAAGGCCTAGACCCCACCCGAGGGAGGCAGGATCTGAATCTCCAGAGCCCTTACCCCAGGCAGAGAGAGGCCCCAAGGAGGGAAAAGGGGCCCAGGTGCTAAGAGCTCCCTTCCTAGAGCCCCAATCCAGAGCCCGGCTGGGGGAAGAGGACGCTAATAGCACAGGAGAGGAGAGGGTAGGGGTGAGCCGTGAGCTGAGCAGGGGCCCAAGGGCAGAGGAGCCAGAGGAAGGGGAGGGCTGTGTGCTTCCTACACCCGTGAGGCTGGGCCCTGCACCTGGGAAAGGCCCTGGAACAGGCCCGCCCTGCCTCCCTACCTCTGATGATCAGGTCCTGCAGGGGGGCCCAGGCGTTGGGGAAGTCCCACTGCTGGCCTGTGTTCCGGAGGGAGGTGGGGATCCCATGCTGGTAGTTCAGGATCTGGTTGTCCTAGAAGGTTCCAGACAGGACCCTTGTAGGTGGGACTGGACCCTCCAGGAGGGCAGATGGCTCCCCCTGGCCCAGTTCTTCTTGGCTCATCTCTGCCCCCTGGTGGCTCCAGTGAGCACCTCAGGCTTGAGGCACTGCAGGAGGGTGTGGCTGCCACCTGCCAGGTCCCTGCTCAGGGTCAGGAGGGGACAGTCCTCCTCCAGTGTGCCACCCCTCCTGCTGCCACTCACCTCCAGGTACTTCAGTGCCTTGTCCACGTCACCAGGGTCAGAGAAGCAACCGGCCCAGAGTGGCGTGAGGTTGGACGGGTAGAACTCATGGTTCTTCTTCCTGTTCTCGATGTCATAGTCGAACCAGGCACCTTTCTCCTCATCCCACAGGACGGCCCTCAGGGCGGCCTCGCGCTGTGCGTGTAGGTTTCTGTACTTGGCAGCCTGGGCTTGCTCCCCTGGGGCAGCACTGCTGTCAGATGGCAACCAGGCCGAGCCCTCCTGTGCCTTGGCCTGGTTATTTGCCTTTGCATGGGCTGAGAAATCCCGAGGACCAAGGGGACGCACCCACCCTGTCAAATCTCTAGCTTCTGAAATTTTCTGAGCAAACGGCCTGCCCAGTCCAGGGCCTGTTCCCAAGCCATGCTCTGGAGGGCACTGCTGTGTGGATTCCCCTATCTCTGAGGGGGTTGAGTGGCAGCTGCCTGGGGAGAGGGAAGAGGGACCTACTCGCAGGTCAGAGGAAGAACTGGCCCTGGTGAGGGATACATGAGGGTCACTGCATCTGCAGGCTTTTCCGGGTACACAGGTGTTAGGCCTGGAGGTGGGACCCTGCACCCTGGGGTCCTACTTCCAGTCCTCTGGCCAGGTGGAGGCAGGAAGCTGAGCTCGAGAGCTGGAGGAGCCCTGTTCCAGCCTCTGCTCGGTGCTCACCCAGTGTAGTGTAGAAGGTGCTCATCAGCGCCTCTGCCTGACACAGGAAGGCATTCAGGTCAACTGGCACCAGTCTGCTGGTTCGGATGCTGCTCAGCGCGTTGGGGTTTGGGCCTCCGACCAGCCATCGTGAAGAGAAGTCCCAGCCAGACTCAGCCCCTGCCTTGAGCTCGGCCCACAGAAGCTCCCGGGCCGCTGGGAGGATAGGACAGAGGAGGCAGCAGTGGGCAGAGACCAGGGCCGGCCATCGGCCAAGGGGCCCAGAAGCCAGGTCTCCATCCCCTACACCGCTCACCTTCCGGCAAGGTGTCTGCCAGCTCTGTGTCTTTGCTGTAGGACTCAGGCCTGGCAAAGAGTGGAGGCGGGCAGGTGGGTGCTGGTCGGCACTCAGCCCCTCTGTGCCAGGTTAGAGGCTGAAATGCCAGGACGCAGCTGATCCCCTGGACGGCCAAGGGCTGTCAGTGTCACCATCTGAGACATGGGGCTAAAACCACTCCCTCTCTCACCCAGGGGCGCTGCAATGTTCAAACCAGAGTGAACAGATGAGAGCCTGGAGGTGGGCTGGGTGATTCCTCACCTGGGGCCCCCATAAGGGACATAATAGCGATTCAGGACATAGCTCTGTCCCTCTATGTCCACAGAGATGCTCCTGTTCTGAGCCCAGAAGTTCAGTTCCAAGGCCAGGGTCTCGATGTTCTCCCTGGGGAGGAGCCGGGGAGCTGTCAGGAAGCGCAGGTGTGTCCCCACCCTGGGAGGTCAGGATGGCACATACCGCAGGAAGGCGATGTCGCCAGTGTGCGTCAAGTAGAGATGCATCATGAGGGTGAGGAGGGGGGGCTGGCTCCGCTGCAGGTAGTACACGCGCCCGCCGTTGGGGATGTGCCCGTAGCTGTGAGAGGGCGACCTGCTGGGATGCCTGTGCCTGGTGGCGGAAGCCAGGCCAGCCCAGCTCCGAGCCCCTTCCTCTGCCCCTGGCCAGAGCTGTGCAGCCCCTCTTACGTCTGCACCAGGTCCAGAAAGTTCTGCAGCATGCCTTTCACCGTCTCCGCCATCTCCGAGAGCAGCAGACCCTCCATCACCCAGTACGAGTCCCTGGGGTGGAGGGAGGGTCTGCATTGCACCAGCGCTACCCTCTGCCCCACACACCACCAGGATACCCCGGCCTGGCCAACCTGGCCCAGCCACCCCGGCCTGGGTGCTCACCAATAATAGAATTCCACAAAGCGCCCCCCAGGCACAATGAAGGGCTGTTTCGAGTAGATTAGGGAGAACCGCTCAGGGTGGCTGAGAACCTCTGGCTTCATCTGGCGTCGGGGAGAGAGCACAGAAGGTGGGACCCCGCCAGAGTGGGCCCCCGAGGCTGGTGCAGGCCCTGGCAGCCATGGGCACAGGCAGGCAGCTGGTTGAGCTGCACCTCTGCCACTCAGCTGTGAGGTCCAGGTCCCACTGGGAGCCTAGCCATCCTCACCCTCATGTGCCGGCCTCTACGGTCCCTGCTCAACTGCACGGTGCAGGCGGCAGGAGTCAGGCAAGCGCTGGCCACGACTGCCCTCAGGTAGGACTAGGCCAGCCCGATCCTCCTGACACTCCCACTCCTCCTGCTACCACCTAGTCCCCCCACCAAAAGGAGCTGGCCCAGCCCTCCCCAGTTTCCCCACCCTCTGGCCCAGGTGGGCAGGAAGCCCTCCCCTTTCACAGGTTGGGAGGGTGTGGAGGGACATGCCAGGGGTGCCCGGTGCCATGTCGGCTCACTCTGTGTGAGGCTTTCCTGGGGAAGCTCAGTCCGGGGCAGTTATTTTGAGGGAGTGGCAGGACAGATGGGGCTCAGGTGTGCTCCCACCAAGGCCCAGCTGCCCCTTGGGACAGGTGAGGAGGGCATCCTGGCCAGGAAGGAGCTCTGGGCAGCACTCAGTGCCAGCGGATGCCAGGGCCTTGGGCCTGCATGAGAAGAGAGCACGCCGGCCCTGGGCAGCCTGGGGCAAATGGCCATCCTCTCTGAGCCTCAGCAAAGCAGGCAGACACCTCAGGATGGCCTGAGTGCAGGGCAGGGCTGCACACGGTGACTGTAGACAGGTTTCCCAGGAGCTCGAGTAAGGGAGAGCCCAGCAGGCAGGTGGGTTTACCAGGTGGGGAGAGGCAGTGCCAGGCAGCCCGGACAGGCTGGGGAGCTGTCTGGAGGAGGTGAGGTGTTAAAAGCAGATTTTGTCTTCCTCCACCATCAGAAATGCTTTGAGAGGGCTTGTATTTGGGTATCCAAGGGGTAGAAGACTGTGCTCTCAGGAAAGGGGACTCTGTCTGTGCTCTGGGGGCACCGTGGGCCCCCGAAGAGATACACCTGTCTTCTAGCCCCAGGCCCCTGGGTCAGGTGCGATGGCCGGCCAAGCCACTCATACCTTCTTCCCCAGCTTCTTCCAGATCTGGTTCAGCTGTCCTGCCCAGGCACGCAACTTGGGGTCCGAGATCTTCTGCAGGAACTTGGGGCTGGAAGAGCACCCCCAACAGTGCCCCTGACAAGGGTCAGGCCGGCTACCCTCTCAGAAGGCCCGCTCCTGTCCCATCCACCTTTGTACCTGTCTTTCCAGTCTCCAGGCGTCCAGGCCTGCAGCTCCTGCCCCTTGGCCTGGAAGTGCTGGTGGACGAAGGCCTGCAGCTGCTCCCTGGGGATGCTGTAATTGTGGGCCTCCACCAGCCTGTCGAAGTTCCGCAGCACCTGGTCTGGGAGCCGGCACCGGGGCAGGTGGGGGTCAGCAGGGTGCTATGAGCCCCTCCCTGCTCCAAGGGGCCTCTCCGCATGGTCTCGGCACTGTCATCTGGGTAGAAGGTTCTGGAGATCGCAAAGCCCCAGTACCTCACCTGGAGCGGTGGACAGCGGCATGTCAACAAACTCCTTGTCATCTGGGTAGAGCTTGGCCATCTGAACCTGGTGCAGCAGCTCCCCAAAGCAATAAATCTGGCTGCAGAGATGGTTGGAATACAAGCGGGTCAGGTCACCGCCCTGTCCCATTGGGGCAGAAGAGAGCACTTGGGTACTGGGGAGACTCCCGGGCATGTTCCCAGGGACTGGGCAAGGGCCACATGCATGTGTGTGGGTGTGTGTTTGTGGTGGAGGTTGTGGTGAAATACGGGAGAGAACTGGGGCATCTCTGGGCAGCAAGAGGCCCACATGACTGCCTGAGCCCACGGGTGTGTTAATTTGAAAGAGTATGGGACAGCCAGTGGACAATTCTTTTTTAAAAAAAGAATTATTTTATTCAATTTTACTTATTATATATTTTATTTCCTTTGACATATTTTTGCTATAGAGTACATGTGTTTGCCAGAGAGACAGAGACAGAAAGAGAGAAATCACCCCCAGAATGGATGGCCATGCCGCAATCCCTTCTCCTCCATTTTCCTCTTGGGATTTTGAGGATGCACACACACGTGCCTGGCGTGAGTTTTAAAGCGCCAGGTCCAGGACTCAAACAGGGAAGTCCAGTGATATAACTATTACACCATCTGCTCCTCCTTAATTTTATTTTTTTTATGTTTAAAATAGACATTTATTTAAAGTAATACACCTGCCGACCTAATTTTTTTTAATTAAATTTTTCAGGTTCGACCCCAACTTCATAAAAATACTTTAAGAACAACCGCATCCACAATTGCAACCTAGTTACTTCTTTGCCCACTCCTCTCTCTTTTCTTTCCTGAATAACCCCTTTTAGATATGGTTCAAGGTAGAAATGATCCTCCTCGGATTTTGTCCACTGCTAATCTTTAGGCAATATCTGCTGCCTCACGGTCAGGTCCAGGGCTCTCTTAATGCAAAATATCCTGTCATTATAAAGGTGCTCAGGAAGTCTTCTTATGGCTTCCTTCACATCTTCATTCTTGTCTATCGTATCATCTCGCATTAACCCCAGTTTATTGAATCCTGAAGCACTGTAATACCATTTTCAAATACCATTCAGCCACCGACCTGATGCTGAAACGGCCGGCCTGCTCGCCATTTTGACCCGAGAGTGAACTTTATTATTATTTTTTGAGAGGTTTTTGCTACAGGGCACGTGCGCTCACCAGAAAGACAGAGAGAGACAGAGAGACAGAAAGTGAGAAATCGTTCCCCAGGGGAAGTGACCACACTGCAATCCCTTCTACTCCATTCTCCTCGCAGGATCTTGGGCACGCATGCACACGTGCCTGGTGTGAGTTTAAGCCACTGGGTCCAGGACTCAAACCACGGTTGACTACATGGGAGTTCAGCAACATAGCGATTAATGCTAATTGCTGGTCCCAAGCACTTTTTTTTAAGTTATTTTATTATCATTCCCCCCCCCATTTTTTTTTTCTTTTTTCTTTTGTTTTCTTTGGAGAGGTTTTTGCTATAGGGCACGTGCACTTGCCAGACAGAGAGAGACAGAGAGACAGAAAGCGAGAAATCACCCCCCAGGGGGGATGGCCACGCCACAATCCCTTCTCTTCCATTCTCCTCTCAAGATCTTGGGCACGCACGCATACCTGCCCAGCGTGAGTTTTAAGCCACCGGGTCCAGGGCGTGAACTGCGGTCGACTATGTGGGAGTACACGACATAGCTATTACACTAACTGCTGGTCCCCCCCCCCCAATTTTGACCAGAAAGAGACAGAAAGACAGAGAGCAAGCTACCAGGTCCAAGACTCAAACCACAGTTGGCCATGTGGGAGTCCAAGGCCTTTTACCCACCACGCCACCTGCTGGCCTCTAAGATGAACACATTAATCAGTGGCATTTAGAAGCCAGAGTGACATATGGGCCAATTCTTTTGTGTGGACCTCAGTGGAAGGGTTCATAGCAAACGCCTGTGAGCTGCACTCAGTGGTGTTTTTGTTTTAAGTTTTTTTGTCATAGAATGTGTGCGCTCACCAGAGAGACAGATACATAGAAAGTGAGAAAAATCCCTTCCCTTCCATTCTCCTCTCAGGATTTCGGGCACACACACACACACATGCCCAGCGTGTTTCAAGCTGCTGGGTCCAGGACTCAAACCATTGTCAACTATGTGGGAATACAACACCTTAACCACTGTGCCACCTGCTGGCCCCTGCACTGAGCATTGATGGCTGAGATTTGGGGTCAGAAAACTTTGAGATGCAGTGACAATATATCACACACCATTTGAGAGACACACACTAGCTCTCTCTTGAGTGTCTTCGTGACCACAGGACACAGAATAATTGTAAAACCCGAAATCCATTACATCGGTGATGTGTGTCAGAGAAACTCACAGCGCAGGTGGCAAGATGGAAATGATTTACTCGAGGAAGTGCCGCCTGGGGTAGGGGCATGGAGGTGCTCCCTGGAACCCCAGCCAAAAAACTTTCCCTCCAGGCACCACTTTGGAAATGCCAGAAGACTGATGATGCCACTGCCACCCAGGAGAGGATTGCGGACAGCTCTCGACTGACCGGCTAAAGCTAGCTGGAGTGCAGATGGACAGACGGAGCTTTGCAAGACTCTGAGCTCGGACAGGGAAGTCTTTAAGGATGTGAGAGCACATCAGCTTGGTGGCTGGACTGCACATTTTCCCTGCAGGTATGGGAGAATTGAACAGCGAGAGACGGAGGGAGATGGTGGAAGGGAAAGTGAGAAATACCCCCCAGGGGGGATGGCCACACACAGTCTCTTCTCTTCCATTCTCCTCCTGGGATTTTGGGCACGCATACACATGCACCCTGTGTTATTTTCAAGCCCCCAGGTCAGGGACTCGAACCACAGCCAACCATGTGGAAATCCAGCAACATAATCATCACGCCACCTGTTGGTCCGTATGCTGGGTTTTTCCCTGACTTGTGGGCAATAGTGAATGGCCTGGCAGACGGACAGTGAAAAACTGAACTATTAAAAGGATGCCCAGGGACGGCCTAACAGTTAAAGGATCTGGATCCTACATGGCCAACCAGAAGGTTCAGTCCCAGTCACGGCGGCTTGAAAAACATACCAGATATGGAGCCAGCAGGTGGCATGGGGGTTTAGGCAGCTGGATCCCATATGGCCGACTGTAGGACTTCGAGTTTCCAACCTGGTGGTTTGAAAAAACAAGCCAGGTGTACGTACATGCCCCAAATCCCGAGAGAAGAATGAAGGGGGAAGAACTGCAGTGTAGTCACACACACACCCCCAGGGGTGCTTTCTCACTTTCCCTTTCTCTTTGTCTCTCTCCAGTAAGCGCATGCACTCTAAAGTAAAAAAAAAAAAAAAAAACTACAAAACCAAGCCAAAACACGTCAGGTGTGCTCGTGTAGCGAAAATCTGAAAGGATAGAGAAATGGAGAAGGGATTGCAGCATGACCACACCCTACTAGGGATGCTATCCCCTGCTCCTTTCTCTGCCTTTGTCTAGTGAGCACACATGCCCTGGACAAAAAAAAGAAAAAAAAAAAAAAGATGCCCAGTGGAGCATAAGTTTTTGGAAACCACTGTGGAAATTTAAGAGGTACATGAAATAGAAGAGCATTCCCGGCTGTGGGTACGAATGTCTGGGGCAGTATAGCATGCTCTGTGGGAACAGAAGGTACCAATTCGTACCTTCGACTCATTTCTTCACAGTAGGCCTCAGTCTCCCACCCACAGTGCCCTGTGATGGGGCACTAGCAAACGGGCATGCCGTGACCGTGGTCTGACAGAAACTCGGGGCAGGGACGGGAGTGTGTGTTGTCTAAAGTGGGGGGAGATAGAAGCATAAGTACTGGCTTGCACACCTTCATGTGTGTGCTCACACTCAATATGCCGGGATAGAGGGGACATCCCCACTAGACAGATTCCTCTACTTTTCTGGGGAGCTAGGGAAGAGAGCTTGGGGAGGTTGCTGGTGTGAGTACACAATTTTTTCCCACATTGTCTCAGCTACTTTTTCTTTTTCTTTTTTTATGTTTTTGCCACTTTTCAGGAAGAGACAAAGAGAGGGGGAAATGACAAATTACCCCCTGGGGGGGAGATGGCCATACCAAATCCCTACTCCTCCATTTTCTAAGGATTTTGGACACATGTGCACGTGCCTGGGTCTCAAACCTTGGTCGGCCAGGTGGGGCTCCAGTGCCTCCACCACCACACCACCTGCTGGCCCCCATCTCAGCTACTTTTTTCCTACCTAGATACGGTTTCCTCGGAGAGGTCTGCGTCTGAAAGTGTCAGAGCAAGCAGGTTTTTCCAAGCAGGAAACTGCCGTGGCATCCTTAAAGCCTCTGTGGACCAGCAGGTAGGACAGTGGTTAAGACACTGACTCCCACATGGCCAACTGTGGTCGGAGTCCCAGACCCTGTGTTTCAAACTCACGCCAGGCACAGTACATGTGTGCCCAAAATCCCAGGAGGAGAATGGAGGAGAAGGGATTGTAGCATGGCCATCCCCCTAGGGAGTGACTTCTCACTTTCATTCTCACTATCTCTCTCCTGTGAGTGCACCCACCGCATGGGGGAAAAACAAAACAAATAAACAAAAACAAAAACAAACAACCAAAAAAAGCATTTTTTTTTTTTTTTTTTTTTTTAGAGAGAGATTTTTGCTATAGAGCACATGTGCTCACTGGAGAGACAGAGATAGAAAGCGAGAATCCCCCCCCCCAGGAGAATGGCCACACTACAGTCCTTTCTCTTCCGTATTTTGGGATTTGGGGGACACATGCACATGTTTCCGATGCGAGTTTTAAGTGGTCGGGTCTAGGACTTGAACCATTGTCAACTATGTGGGAGTACAGTGAAGTAACCATTACACCATCTGCTGGTCCCTTTTCTTCTTTAAAATAATTATTTATTTATTTAATTCCATTTGTTATTATTATTATTATTTTTTAATTTGACCACACAGAGACGGAGAGAGAAAGGGAAAGCAAGACATTTTGCAAGCTGCCTGGTCTGGAACTCAAGTGACACTCGGTCATGTGGGAATCCAAGGCCTTTAACCACCATGCCACCTGCTGACCTCTTTTTTCTTTTT